ACTCGCCACCACCACTCCCGTCCCCCAACCACGGCATCGGAGCACCGCCAGCATCCACGCCGCTAGGATCCCCCCCAATCGCGCCATGGAAGCAAATGAGGCCAATCTTAGCATCCTCATGCCCGCTAGCTGGGGCTGCGTCATGTTCAATAGGGGGCTCTCCTCGGTCAGTTCACAGTTCGCTGGCGGCCCGCTCGCTCCCGCCAACTCGCAACACGCAGCCCACACGCGCTTGGCTCTCCGCATCGCATCATGATTGCTGATTGTGATTGCTTCCATCCTGCCCCTCGACGCCTATCGCGCTATCGATAGCTTTTGCGAGTCGTGAGACAGCTGCCACGGCCCATGTCTCGCTTCACCACCCAGCATCCCGCTCTCAACTTTGCCATGCCCGTTGGCGCCACCACTGCTTATTCCCACGACAACCCAGCCTTTCCTGGTCCACCAATACTCCACCTGTCCACCAACATGCCCGCCCTGTCGCCTTCAATAATGCCCTGATATGCCCATCCTCCACCATCATCCCTGGTGAGCCTCGAAGAAAAAAAGGGTCTTCGTTGTGTTTCGTCTCGACATGGCGCCGACTGTTCCGCCCCTCGCACCGCCCTGTTTCGATTCTGTTCCATGGCCTTACTGTGTACGACTATTCACTGGTGCCCAAACCGTGGTCGTCATTGCGCGTCGGCTTTGCAATCAAGGTTCGTCCGCGTCATGCTTGCCCTTGCAGCCATCGGCCACGTGCTATCCAAGATGCCCGACTCCATGTACATGACGTCGGCTTGTTGTCCCCCCTTCAAAGACATACCACTGCGTATCCACATATACGTAGGTATACATGGTCTCGAAGGGTAAGCCCTTTGTCTGATACACGCTAGCAGCAGCATCATACCTGCTCATTGGTTCAAGACTGGCGGCCCGCATGCTGTTCAATAGCCCACGTGCTAGATGCATTCACAGGGCCATCGACACTAAACGCGCCAAAGCGCGGCTATGACGCTCATAGATAAAGCACATGACGATGGCATCTAGAACAAACATCATGACACCATACTCTACCATCAACAGCCATGCGTCACGACAAAAAAAACAATCCCCCAGGCACCCGAGAATACTTCACGGGCGACCGCATCTGCGGCCGCGGTCATGTCGTCTCCACTCGCCTGTAGCTCCAACGAGCAAACGCAGGAACGCCCTCGTCGCGCATTTCCATCGCCGTACCTGCCTTAGCCTCGACCGTCTGCTGATCGCCGCATATCCACTCAATTTTGGTCCGCATGCAGCCACCGAACCCAGCCGGTGCGCCTCACTTGAGTGCCTCACCAACAAGCAACCATATCCTGCTGAGTAAACGGCGCACTTGATTCCTGCGACGGTTTGACATGTCAAGCACGGCCCGCAAGACGGTGCTTTTGGGACTCCTGGCTGTGCTACCCCCACTGCTTCCATCTGACGCCTGTCACGTCTCAGAGCCATCGCACCAGCCCTAGCCGCACTCACAGCGGCTATCGGTCTAGCCACAACCTAAAAACGGCATTGTCTCAGTAACCGTTGCAAACTAACACCCAAACATATCGATTCTCTCCCAGACGCTTGTCGCCCACCCCAGATTGCCGTGGTAACAACATGCAAATGTGTCGTTGGGCTTCAAAAGAACTATGAGGACATCAAGTGCCATGCCCCGCTCTGATAACATAGCACCTCGGGTCAGAGTCCCAATAGGGTTGACGCCCAAATGCACATGCTTTTCAAGCTGACGAGGCCACGAGGTCTTTGCCGGGGCTGCTAAATGATTTACAGGGTCCAGGAATGGTCGGTCCCCAGTCGCCATACCGCCGCCAAGGCCTTGTCTTGCGCACCACACGCCCCATGCTACCTGTCTTCGTATTCTCCCTGATGCCTATGCGGGGTTTGCCCTTGGGTGCGACGGTAGCGAACATGGATCTCGGAGATCATGGATACTTTTCAAGGGTCGGTTGAATCTGCCAGCAACTTTACCTCGGGGTCCAAGTGGTTCTTGGGCACTGTCTCTGACAGATTGCGGCCCTTCCTGTATGTCTTGCGCAATGCATTGCCCAAAGACGGCCTCCTTTACTTTTTTTTTCAATGACAGTCGCCTTTCGTTGAAACAGATTTGATCATTTCCCACGCACTATTACATACCGAGCCTCGCATGCCAATCTGTCATTGCCTTGGTAACTTGCACGTGTTGCATTGACTGTGATGTTTTATGACTTTGGTATTATGCAGGTTAGACCTAGCGAGGGTATTATAAGTGGGAAGAGTTAAGGTACTAGACATGTGAGTAATCCCGCAAAGTCTATCCATGGTTGAAGCTGCATGGTTGTTTGATGCCGCCTTGGGCCGGATGGAAAAACTTTGTTCCCGTCGCTGGAGTCAATGGCGGGGTGAGTCAAAAAGTTTGGCGGGGCATATATCTTGACGCGCCGCCCACACGAGCAAGACGTCCCTTACGAACAATTGCAACAATGGCTGACGAACAACCTGCAACCCAGCCTCCTGCTGCCGAGACCAAGGATCTGCATACTGACCCCGTCACTGGCGAGAAAATTTCCAAGAGTGAACTCAAGCGTCGCCAGAAGCAGCGCGAAAAGGACGAGAAGAAGAAGGAGAAGGAAGCATCTCTACCAGCCCGGCCCAAGAAGGAGAAGAAGGATGACATTGAGGAATTGAACCCAAACGTTCGATCCCCAACCTGGAATTTCTATGCGACGTGCTGCTAATACATCCCAGCAATACTTTGAGATTCGATCTAAGAAGATTGCCGCCCTCACAGCCTCCCAGGACCCCAATCCTTACCCACACAAGTTCCACACCAACTACAGGATCGCCGACTATGTACGCGACTACTCACATCTCAAGAAGGGCGAGACAGAGCCCGAAAAGGAGATTCGCATGGGTCTCCGTGTCATGACCAAGCGATCGGCTTCCAGCGCGCTCCACTTCTACGTTTGTATGTTTATGAGACAAGAAACTGCGTACACATCTAACTGTTTACAGGCAAGGCAGAGGGTGTTACTATCCAGGTCATGTGCCAATTGCAAGAGTCCAAGGCTGATGTGCCCTTTGAGAAGCAGCACGAGAACATTCAGCGTGGAGACATTATCGGTGTTATTGGAATCCCTGGCCGAACAAGTCCCAAGAAGGGTGGCGAGGGTGAACTGAGTATCTTTGCGCGCGAAGTCATCCTCCTCACACCCTGTCTTAGGATGTTGCCAACAGAGCACTTGTAAGAATCACTCATGGCCTGAAAAAAAGACAGGTACTGACCTTATGACAGTGGCTACAAGGACCAGGAACAACGCCACCGCAACCGGTACCTCGATCTTATCATGAACGACTCGACGCGCAACACCTTCATTGCACGCACCAAGATTGTCAAGGCCGTCCGCAGATATCTCGATGAGCGCGACTTCTTGGAAGTGCAGACACCGATGATGAACAAGATTGCCGGAGGCGCAACAGCGCGGCCCTTCAAGACATACCACAACGAACTCGACATGGAGCTGTACATGCGCATTGCACCCGAATTGTACCTCAAGGAGTTGGTTGTTGGAGGTCTTGAGAGAGTATATGAAATTGGTCGTCAGTTTAGGAACGAGGGTATCGATCTCACTCACAACCCCGAGTTCACCACCTGTGAATTCTATATGGCATACGCCGACTACCACGACCTCATGGACATGACCGAGGAGTTGGTCAGCGAGATGGTCAAGGAGGTCACTGGCAGCTACGAAACCGTGTATCACACCCAAAGTGGCGAAGTCTACAATGTCAACTGGGCAAGGCCATGGAGGCGAGTCAACATGATTCCTGCTCTTGAGGAGGCTACTGGTGAAAAGTTCCCACCGGCCACTGAACTCCACACTGCTGAGACAAATGAGTTCCTTAAGAAGGTACTCAAGAAGGTCAACGTTGAATGCTCGGAACCCCGTACCAACTCAAGAATGATCGATAAGTTGGTTGGCGAGTTCATCGAAGAGACTGCCGTGAACCCGACTTTCATCGTTGGTCACCCTGAAGTCATGTCACCCCTTGCCAAGACTCACCGAGAAATCCCCGGTCTTTGTGAGCGTTTCGAAGCCTTTGTCTGCAAGAAGGAGATCGCGAACGCCTACACCGAGTTGAACATGTCAGAAGTCCAGCGCCAACGTTTTGTAAGTTGATGGTATTTTTCTTTCGGATTGTGCAAACAAAAGATTTGCCAAATATCGCCCAGGAGACGCTTCGAGGTTCGCAAATACTAACAAATTTCCAGGCCGAGCAAGCAAACCAGAAGGCGGCAGGCGACGACGAAGCACAGCTTATCGATGAGACCTTCTGCCAGGCGCTCGAGTACGGTCTACCACCCACCGGTGGATGGGGTATGGGTATCGACCGTCTGGTCATGTTCTTGACAGACCATTACTCCATCAAGGAGGTGCTTACCTTCCCATTCATGAAGGACATTGTTGAGGACAAGAAGACGGCAGCCGAGGTTGCCGATGGCACCGGCAAGCCAGTTGAGGGAATTCGTACGTAGAGCATTGTGCAAGGTTAATTATTATACTAACAGTGTGCAGCACACAAATAATTTGCACAGCATTTCGGCGCATGGAGTGGGTAAGAAAATGACAACGACAGGGGCAATCTAAGCCTACACGATTGGGTATGAGAACATGAATGAAATACAACAAAGACATATGATATACTTCTTCAATTGTGACTGTCTTTGAAACTATAGCGAATGGGCTATTACGCCCGGCTGTTTGCCGCAGCCTACCTGTTATCCGATGATGCTGACTTTGTCATCGAGAACTAACTATATCGAGAGGAATTTGCTTCCGTACATATTCCGAAAGGTGATTGTAGTAATTTTGCGTCTGTCATACCAGTTTTCAAGGGTCCTAGATGGATGCTTTCAGCCGATAGTCGGCTCCCCGCCCGCGAACTAAAATCTCCAACCGCCCGAAAGAGGGGCGGCCCGCGCCTCCATGGGCCGAACGACACACGACACTCACTGCATCGGCAAACCCCGTGGAGTACCAGGTAAGAAGGAATTCGCAATGCCAGAAGAGGTAATCGGGTATAAAGAAGTGGTGCTGGTGCTGCTTTTCCTTCTTTTTTTATGATAAGTTTACCCCTACCATTGAATTTCAAGGCCCTAGGACATTTTATATTGTATGACTGAGTGGAGATACGAGTTGCATGAGAGTGCTTCCTACGAGTAACTCTTAGTAAAATACAAAGAAAATCCAGCAAAAGTATAGAAAGAGGATAGCTATCTAGACTGAAAATGGCGGCACCAGGAGGCAAGTTCTTCATCGAGGATAAAATGGACATACCAGCCAAACACCACGAGTCGTTTGAACAGCTATGGGAGACGAAGTGGAAGAAGCCGGTAGGTATCGCAAAACATCTCTTCAACAATCATCTGCAACACTCGATTATCCAAGACTGACCTCAACATAGGCCGAGATGGGCGTATACCCCTTCATGTTCGGCACCGCCTCCGACTTCGAGCCCATTGTCGCCGAAATGGTCAAGAACAACATGCGCGAGCCCTACGACTGGGACGCCTACGCCCGCACATTCTTCCCTCAAGCTGAAAACCTCGCCTCCATGGCCCGCGCAGCCGAAGCAAACGGCGAGATAGAAAAGGCTTCAGAGTACTACCTCCGCTCCAGCGCCGTCTACCGCATCGCCCGCTTCCCTGCCCCACGCAGCCCCGTCCAACGCGAAGCCTGGGCCAAAGGAAAAGAAGTCTGTCTCAAAGGTCTCTCCATGCGCGAACATCCCGTCCACGAAATCCTCATCCCGCACACGCACCGCAATGAATCCGACGGCCAGCACATCCCCGTCTACCACCTCCTCCCCACCACCGCCTCCCCTTCCTCCCCCATCCCCCTCCTCATCATCTTCACCGGCCTAGACGGCTACCGCACCGAACTCGCCGTCTGGATGGAAGGCTTCCGCCGCAACGGCATCGCCACGCTCGTCCTAGAAATCCCAGGCACAGGCGATTGTCCTGCCGACCCTTCCGATCCCACCTCCCCAGACCGACTCTACTCCTCGCTTTTCGACTGGGTAGCCCAGCAGCCCGTCCTCGACGCCACCAAGACTGCTATCTGGGCGTTTAGCACGGGGGGATACTACGCCATCCGCGTCGCGCACACGCACGCTGCGCGGCTCGCGGGCGTCGTAGCGCTGGGTGGCGGATGCCACCACATGTTCTCCCCCGCCTGGCTCGACAAAGTGAATCACCTCGAGTACCCCTTCGATCTCGCCGACACACTCGCGCACAAATTCGGGTTCGGGACCGACGTCGCCCGGTTCAAAGAGGAGGCTAGCGCCAAGTTCTCGCTGCTGAAGGATGGCACGCTGGATAAAAAGGAGTGTGCGAGGTTGCTGCTTGTGAATGGGACGGAGGATGAGATTTTCCCCATTGATGATTATTATCTTGCGTTGCAGAGGGGGGAGCCCAAGGAGGCGAGGTTTGTGAGTGGGGTGAAGCATATGGGGGAGCCCGAGAGCTTTGGGGTGATTATGAGGTGGTTGTATAGGTTGTGGGGGGTTGAGGCGGATATCGGGGCGCAGATGGGGACGTTGATGTTTAAGCCGAAATATTGAGGTGTATGTGTTGATAAGGTCAGAAGCCGCTTCGAATCTAGATGAATTTTGCGAAACGAAAATTCAAGGCGAAATAAGTGTGAGAGCTTAAGTAAGAGTAGTGTTACTAGACATTGTGTTCTTTGCCCTGTCATGTGCATTACAAATTATCCTACATTTCTCATCTTCCCCCCCCCGAGTCAGTCACTCTCCTTCATTCACTTTCATCCTCGAAAACAACAGCAATACACGCTACCGTAGGGATATAATGAGAGAAAAAAGAAACCTGGTATCATTGTTCCCATTGTACCCCAAGAAAAAGAGAAGAAGCAGGAAAAGAAAAGTCCAATACCTCCCTTCCCTCATAAGTCTGCTTTCAAAGAACGCAGAAAATAATAACTTGAGAAAAACAAAAAAGAAGACAAGAGAATCGAAGATAAATAAGCAAACACGTTTGCAGTTCATAGATAGCACATGATATGATAAGAAAAAGAAAAAAAGGAGAGGAAGACCCGTGCCTTGAACGCGCGGAGTAAAGTGCCCAACACTTCACCTCAATCATTGAGTCCAAAAACACGTCTCAGACCCTGAAACTTCTTCTTCTTCCCACTTCGACCATACGCGACGGAATGGCCCTGTGCATCGACCACAGGCGCAGAGACATTAGACACAGCACTGGGCTGTCGCGTGGCGAAACGTGGTCTACGAGACGCGACACCGTCTGAGCTCACTGGCCGATCATCAGTTCCAATGGTTGGTGGAGGAGGCAGAGGCCAGTCCGGGGTTGATCGTCGTTGGAGCTTGGGTGACCGCTTATGAGAGGTAGGTGCTGGCTCAGCGAACTCCTTATCCTCGTCAATCGGGGTCATGGGGGCGCCCTTGTCGCGGTTGCGTTGCGTAGGGGGCATGGGAATGTCACCGTGTGTAGAGACGGGTTGCACTGACTCAGGTTGAGCAGGGACAGGCTCGGGCTGAGGCGTCTTCTTTTTTCCTAGGCCAAAGAAACCACGCTTCTTCTTATTCTTGCCGGACCCAAATGTGGGTAAAGTGGCATGTTTGCTATCGCGGAGCGAGCCAGTGGCTAGCGCTGCACCCTGCCCATTAACAGTGCCGTTGGTTCCATTCGTTTGCGGAACAGGCTTGGAAACGTCCTCAGGCATTTCCTCATCCACCTCTTCTTCAAGATCCGTAGAGTCCCCGTCTTCTTCACCAGGCTTTCTTGGAATACCCCGGACTGGAGTCAAGCCAGGAGGCAACTCGTAATCCATCGGCTCGTCGTCCGAATCTTCAAATCGACTTTGAAATAGCCTGGGCCGGTCATCTTCATCCTCATCACTCGAATCAGCGAAGCGGCTTTTGAATGGCACCTTGACCGCTTTGGGCGCTTTGGCTGGCTGAGGCGTTTGTTTGGCAGGCTTGGGCTGCTTGGTGAACGAAGGCATCGGCTTTTCCTGTATAGGCGAGGTCGGACGGACATCAGGTCCCTTGCGGAACCTTCCCATTGGTGACAATGATCGGATGCTGAACCTCGATGGCTTGACTGGGTCAGGGGTTGGTGAAGAGGACCGCATGGACCTTCGCATAGCAGGCGATGGAGACTCTGGTGGTGAGATGGCGCGAACCTGTTTTGGAGCTGGTGCACTGGCGCGCAGGGACGGTGTAGGGTTTTGCCTCATGGAGCCACGCATTGTGTACCGTCCACCCTGTTGACGGGATCCTCGGCTTCTAGTTCGCTGGAAGCTGCTAACAGAAGCATCAGAGTCGCTATCATACGTAGCCACTGGTGCGGGCATTGGCCTCACAGCGGGCATACTCTGTGGCCTTGCCTTGGAAGTAGCTGGGGATGGGATATTTTTCTTTTGTAGTGCGCCTCGGGGCTTGGTTTCCACCGGTGTCATGCTGTGGCGAGATGCCGCTAGGCTGATGTTGGCCTTTGGTGGTGTATCCTCTGACCGCATACTCTGTCGCATCTGCGGCTGTGCCCTATGAGGGATTTCTGGTCCTTCCCTCATGGTCGAACGCATTGTGGATCCCATTCGGGGTTCAGCTGGCGCATTTATATTTGAGCCACCACGCATGGTTCTTCTCATGTGCACCTCTGAACGACTTTCCCTAGGCACAGGAGCCTGCGTCGTCCTGTTTTGGGGTTCGGCTGGTCGAGTTGTTTCCGGGGCTGGACTCTTTTTCAAGGCCGACTTTAGAGGCTTGGTCGATGGTGACGGTGAAGCTACTGATACCGGGCGGTCCTGCGAAGTTGAACGTTGCGTGGGCCGATCAATAGCCTTCTGAGGAGGTGGCATTTGCTCGGCAGACGTCTCAGCCTTATCTGCTTGTTTGAAAGAGGCATTCAAACCGCTCCAATGCAGCTGAGCAGGGGTCCAGTCCTGTGTTGGAGTTGCCTGTGAGTCGTCACTATCCTCTGCAGAAGTCTGTTGCTCAGACTTCGAGGCAGGACCTTCCGTTGCATCTTGATCCGCATACTTTGAGTGCATCAGTCCAGATGACAAAGGGTTGCTCGGCTTATCCATAAGAGCATCGATACTAGCAAATCCACCTCCGTCAGACAAATCCTCGTAAGCGTCGCTATATATACTGCTCTCATCGTCTGTGGTGTCTTCTTCGTGTGAGTTGGATTGTGGCACCTGACCTGTCGGCTCCGTAGTGTTCGTGGAGGACGCTGATGTAGATATAGCTGGTTTGGGGGTTTGACTCCTAGCGCCAGTAGCATCTTCGTCCCATCCTCCAGGAATGATTATGCTTGGGAAATTTGGTTCAGGCTTCTCAAACGGACTGGGGGTTGCAGGCTGGAATGCAATACCAGGAACATGGGCGTTCTGTTCTGTTGCTGTAATCGTTGTTGATGGTGCTTCCTCATGCGGAATAGACAGAGACTTTGGCTCCGGAGCTGGTGGTTGCTGAGACATTTCCTTGTGCTCTATGACCCCGTGCTTGTCCGAGTAATCGCTAGAGTCTGACACGTAACCACTGCCTTCGACAGAAGTAACTTCAGGTGGAAGAGGATCAGATGACCCTCTCTGCTTTCGAGCATAGTCATTGAAGACGATGTTGCCAAGCACAATGTCGCTTGAAACCCGAGATTGATCCCCGACAGGACTTGCTGAGACGGTTTCAGTTACCTTTTCAGGCACTTCCTCCCTGTGACGTCGCTCCTTATCTCGGATACTACCAAAAAGAGGCAGAGCAGGTCGCGGCTTCTTAAAGTCTTCAAACTCGTCGTCCTTTTCAGCTATTGGACTCCACCTAGATGCTCCGAGGCCTCCGTAACTAGGCGGCTCAGGATGAGCTGGGGCAGAGGTACTAGGAGCCACCACGTCTTCCTCAAAGCTGACACGAACGTTCTTCTTCTTGCGCCTTCCTCCTTCTTCCGAGGCAGTGTCCGATGCTTCACTTGAAGCACCCCTGGTGTGTAAAAGTCCGTTGGAGCGAAGCGGAGACTCGCCACGACGCGAGACTGAGGGCGACGCTTTTAGTGCGGATTTTGCAGGGGATACTGATCGGGGCAGCGGTTCGTGCTTCATTCCAGTAAGTTCGGTAGCTAAGGGCGCGAAATGAGCGGTGCGCGGTGGGCTTAACGGCGAGTTTTCATTACGCCCGGCGCGTTCGCGGTCATGACTATCATAGGTACTTGCGGGCCTAGAGTTTTCCGGGGTGGATAGCCGGGGGTAGGGGTTGTCCTGGTTCTGGGCGACTGTGGACGAAGCCGCGTCGTCATCGTACCCGACAATCGTGCCATAACCGGAATCTTCAAGTCTGCGACTAGTGTTTGCCTGCTCGGGAGGCTGCATATCGGCATCATTAAAGTCATCAGAGTGCTGTTGAACAGCCGCCCGCGGTTCCTCTCTTCGCTGAGGCGGTGGTGGTTCTTGTCGAACGTAGTGACGGATAGGGCTGGGTAATTCACGACCCATTTGGTTTTCTGGTATAGGAGCAGAATGAAAAGTCTCTGCAGGCTGTGGTCCAGGTTGGGGCTCGGGCTCGGGCATTTCGTGTATCTCCCTATGGCGGGCCATGGCGTCCTGCTTGTGAATAAAGGTGCGGGACGATGGGTCATAGACGGCATCTGGCGACTTCGGATCAACGGGTCGTGGGGCCTGTCTCGACGGATATGTTTGCTTTTGTACAGCTGTTCCGGATGGCTTCACACGCATACTGCCGCTCGACAGCCGAGAGCCTTCGACACCATGCGAGATGCGATGTGAGCTGACTGGGCGCTCAGCTGCATTCTGTACGGATCTCTGAGCATTTTGGACATGGTGGCTAGAGACACCGCTGGATGTCTTTGGTCGTGAGGTTGATGCCATGCGTTGAAGGGCATCTTGGTTGACAACGGGCCCGCCAAACCATCCAGATGAAGCGGTGGTTTGTGGTGGGCTCGGCTTAGTTCCTACTGCGCCAGGGGACATAGGGCGGGAGAAGTTTATAGACCGGGCGGTGTCTTCTTCCTCTGACACATTGGTAAGAGGGTTGGCGGGACGTTGGGGTGCTCGTCGAGGAGTACTAGCGCCCCTGTCTAAGCTCACACCTCTGCCTCCGCCTCTAGGGCCTGGCGATGCTCCGCGATAGAGGGGCTCGACACTCGATGCGCGGCGACGCATGCCACCGCCGTGGTGCTGTATGTTTTCAGGCACAGGTGGGACAGGCGGCGCATTGGTTTCAGCTGGACTTCCCCTGCCCGGCGATGGTGCGCGGAACGAGCGCTCCGTCATGGACCCTGAACTCGACTGCCGATGCAGGGAACCGGACGGCTCTCTCGAGTAGCTGCCGTTGGATGAGAGCGAGCCGCGTCGTGCCATGCGCTTGGTGACGGTGTCTGCTACGGACGTCGGTGTTGGCGAGTGAGTGCGCAGGGCTGCTGCGGCGGCGGCGGACGAGAGGGCGCCATTGGATTCGGCGCTCTTGATGAAGGCTTTGGAGGCGGCGAGCGAGGCGGAGGCGCTGGGAGGAGGCGCTCGCTGGGCCTGCACGGGGAAGAGCATGTGTTAGCAGGCACCGCGTCACCATATACATGGCCGTGTTTGCGCGACACGACGTCTGCGCGCGCGCATCCACAGCCAGAACAAAAGGCACAACCTACCGGACTCGAGGCTGCTCTTCGTCGCTTGCCAAACATGGTGGGCGGGCTGAATTAGGAATTACAGCAGTCGTGGGTGGATCTGCATTATCTCGGCGTCTATGGGCGTGGTGTGGTCTCGGTCTGGGGCCGAAGTTGAGGTGCAGCAGCAGGGGCCGCTTAGATGATGTCACGTCTCGTAGTAGACACGGAACCCGGTGGCACTGGATCAAGGAGCGTGCAAGGCCAACTGCATCGAGCCTACAGTAAAACAAAAAGAAAGGAAAACCAAGGGAGGGACAGCGCAGACGTGGCGAGCGGCAGGGCGAGGAGTGAGATGGATGGATTGCGGACTGGCGAGGGTAGGAAGAAGACGCCGTCTATTTGGTTCGAGTGGAGTCGTCCATGAAAGCAAAACAGGCAAGAGGATCGCCTTATGGTACGCCGTCGAGGACAAGGGCAGAAGCTTGGACGGGGTGTCGTCACGGAGCAATAACATTCATACACCTGTTCATCACATTGCGCAGCCCAGGCCACCGCACAACACGACGCCGACTCACTCAATCTAGATGTCTGCTCCAGCCACAGACGTCACGTCCTTAGCCAGGCCCAGGGCCAGCCGGTCCCTGATTTGCACTAACGGCCCATCGACACAGCAACACCAGGCCAGAGACCCACTTGGGCCACGATAGAGCCTTACTAGTGGCCTACTGGAAACATGGCAAGGGGCGTAGAAGGGGTCGTGTCGAGGATACCGCCATGTTGTCAAAACGTTGTGTGTAAGCACAACTCATCCAGCTAGCCCACAAGGCTGAACAAGGGTCAGCCCTCCGCTATGCTGCCTCAGGCCCTGAACGCATGAACTGGGGAAGCCTCTTAATTTAAAAAGAGGCAAAGGCAAGGACCGAACAAAATACCAACGTTGAAGGGTTTGCCGTTTGCGAAACAATCCCATACATCAGAGGCTATGTTGGCCTCAGGCAATGCACTAGAGGAGAAAACGCTATACTTGGATGTTACTCGACAAAACGATACTGTTTCGCTACGCTGCGATCAGCCGGCTTGAAATCAAGTCTGTTGGTTGGCAGTAACGCAACACCAGTTTTTGTTGTTCCTTAGGTATCTTGGATTGGTGAACCATGGTCTCATCTATGGATACAGTGTTCTTTCCTGCAAAACAGTTAGGCAGCCACTTCTCATCTACTATAAGTCTCCACACATGAGTGACGAGCATTCTCAACTATGTACTTCGTAAATCTACTACAAGACATGTTGAATTAGTGCAGAAACATTCTAAGCGCCCCTCCCGCCAGAGCCAACCACATCGAAGTCGGTAGGGGACAGTGTGGAACGGTGCTTGCATTGAACGACACCGATTGGGTTATCAAAATACCCAATTCTCCTTCCAAAGTAGATGAGCTTTTTACCGACTACCAGATTCACTACTCAGTATACAGCGCTCTGGCGCCTCTCACCTCCGTAAAGATCTCTGTCCCTCGGCCTGAAGCATGGATCACGCACGGGAATACAATCTGGTTTGTAACGGCTCCTTGCTTTCCTAAAGGAAGTCCACCTATTCCAAACTACGGTCTCATTTCGAAGCGCATCTTGTCCGTTCCTCTCTGCTTCCGCGAAGACATCGTGGACTTATTATGCCCCGAAGCAATCAAAACCGAATTTCTCGAGAGACATGAGAATAAGGATTGCCTGGTCAGACTCTATTTAGGTCGTCGCAGTTGCACGTCGCATAGGGAATCTGGAAACATCCGGCTTCGTAACTTTCCACTTCACGTTAACGAGATGAAACAACTCTGGTTACGTCCAGAATCCTACACTATTACCATGGCACAGACTTTAGCTTTCCTCCACTGGAAAGCCGGCATCGATGCAAACGATATAGAATTTGTTCTTGTAGGCGGACATCTTGTTAGTAGTAGTTATCCAAGCGAACAGGAAGTCCGTGCAGCTACAAAGCATACAGCAGGGAGATTGCATGTGACCAATATCAGAAACCAACAGACATCAATGTGGCTACTGGACTTTAATCAGTGCCAGCATTTTGAGTACCACGCGGATGGCGAGGCGGGGTGCAAGGAAGTAATGAAGAAACTTGCCGAGGGCTTCTGGTTCAATGATCCCTACTACCCGCGCCCCAATGCCACCGACGATGAAGACAAGAAACTTTGGGATATCTTTGTAGAGCACTATCTCAAAACGAGTGCGGAGCTTGTTGCCCACCAAGGACCAAGGGAATTCATCGAGGCTGTGGTGGAGAAGGGTAAACAGCGGTCGGAAAGTTATTTATTTAGTCTATAGAAGGGCAAGCTCTTTCCTAAAAAGGTTAGACCTTACCAAGTTGGGAACTACGACAGATGAAACCAGGTGTAGATAGATCGAGTCTATGGTTGCATCAAAAGTAATCTTTGACCCTTGTAAGACTAGTACCTGTTGTAGGAGAGAATTGATAGGCATGTAAATTTAGCATGCGTCAGCCTCGTACTACTACCGCAAGTGGGCCACTACTAGCAATACGCAGCTTGGCAGCTCCCTCTCAAATCTTCCCCGCATCGTAGACTCACTTTTAGCTCTACACTATCATCTCGAATCACACGTTCCTTTACATGAAAATCAGCTACACTAAGCACCAAGTGTTTATCGCTTCATCCATACTTTTGATTCACTCCCACGTGACAAGCTATCAACATGTCAGCTTCGCAGCTGCCGCCTCTGCCACTGTCAGACGGCATCACCGAAAACTATGTTCACTGCCCATCCAACGGACTCACTTTTCACGTAATCGAAGCTGGCTACACGTCAAGTCAACATAAACCTCTCATCGTTCTCTGCCACGGTTTTCCCGAACTCGCCTTCTCCTGGAGAAAGATAATGGTGCCTTTAGCAGACGCCGGCTACCATGTCGTTGCATTCGACCAGCGAGGCTACGGAAGGACAACTGGCTGGGACAATTCATCATTCATCAATACCAACTTGTCGCAATTTGCTATGACTAATGTCGTCCGCGACGTGGTTACCCTGGTCAACGCCTTGGGCTATCGCCAAGTCAAGTGTATCGTCGGTCATGACTTCGGAGCTGTGACTGCTAGCATGTGCGCTTTGATGCGCCCGGACTTTTTCAAGAGCGTTGTAATGATGAGCCATCCATTCAAGGCTCCTGAGCCCCTTCCGTTCAACACAGCTCGAGCTGAGCGCCGAATGGACGCCTCTGCACCGCCACTTGATATCCATGCTGAGCTGACGAGCCTAGCTGAGCCAAGAAAGCACTACAAGTGGTACAACAGTACTAGTGTAGCAGCACGAGACTGGGCAAACCCTGCCCAAGGTTTGCATGAATTTCTAAGAGGATACATTCATGTCAAATCAGCCGACTGGAAACAGAATGAACCTTACCCCTTGGAGAGCTGGACAGCCCAAGAGCTGGCAAAGTTACCCTTCTATTACATTATGCCGATACGCCTATCCATGCCCGAAACTATTGCTAACATGATGACTGGCCAGGACATGTCGGCGACCAAGTCATGGATGCCCGACCGGGACCTTGCGGTTTACGTGGAAGAATGGTCGCGAACAGGCTTCCAGGGTGGCCTCAACTACTACCGCATAACCACTGATCCAGATCGTATGAAGGATCTAGAGCTTTTTGTAGGCAAGAAAATTGAGTGCCCTAGCACCTTCATCTCAGGCGCAAACGACTGGGGGAATTATCAGCAACCCGGGGCCATTGAGTCCTATCCAGATTCTTGTTCCGACTTCCGAGGAAATCATTTCATCAAAGGCGCAGGTCACTGGCCGCAGCAAGAGCAGCCAGCGAAGGTCGTGCAAGAGTTACTGGCGTTTCTCAACGGTCTCTGATGCTGCTGCACTTTCTGTCTGTCTGATTTCCGTTCAAGGTTACATTCACATCCAACTCTCTATCTATGCATTGTACGTCGACTATGTCAACTGCATGCACAGACCAAAAGTCTCTTTGGGCCTAGGCCAGCGCGGTGACCCTGAGGCTGTTTTGCCACACCGCCCTTACTTGACAAGCCCCGTCATTTCATGGCCGCCACCTTGTGCTCGGGTTTGAGATACCAGATCTAAAGTCTTCGCATCAGCCTCCGACGTTCACTTACCACTCACCAAATTTGCTCAGCCACTGAGGTCAATGGTGTCCGTGCTCCAGCGCATTCGCCTAAAGCGATAAATGCGGTAGTATGCTTGTCTAGTCTACATGAATCCTACTATACTCTGCATTGCATGTTATCTATACGTCTGACACGAGAGTCTATTTCGGTTGGTTTATTGGCCCTAGGGACATCATAATAACAACAACAACAAATCCAAACAATCTACCAATTGCGACAGAGAGCTTTCAAAGGTGCTGCACTGTGGTATCCCATTCAGTAACTCATCTAAAAAAGTGAGATTAATGCAGAACGCGCACCTATAGCTTCACCGCTCAGACCGAACATACGCCAGCTTTAGCCCCCGATCCCCTATCAAGCTCATGGTAGTGCTGACTTAACCATACGCTGAGCGCGTGTCATTACTGATAAGCTGAACGACCAAGCCACTGAGACATCTTTAGTAGACCCGATTACGGGCTGCAGGAACATCGTGTATGAACAAATTTAGAGCATCAACACTGGTGCTCTCTCCAATAGAGGAATATGCACACAGGGCTCGATGACGATATAAACTCCTCGTGAAATCATTGATGGTGAACAGCAGTTCAACCATTTCATCAACAACCAAAGGTCCTCTTTCACTTTGACCCTATCTCCTTACCGCTCTTTTAGTCTTTCACTGTCCCGATGGCAACACCGCCTCAACTATCCAATGGCTGCCGATGCAGACCGCCCTTAACCTCTCCTAGTCTACATACAACTTCTGACTCTTCCGGAACCTGCCGATCTCAACATATTGAATCACGCAATTCGTCCACAGAGTCACTTGAACATCCTCCACCGAATGTTCCCGAGGGGGAGCATATTGACTCGAGTGAAGGCGTTATCCAGAAGCACCAGCATCCAGATACACTTGATACCCTTGACAATACTCGAACATCTTCTATCAACTCATCGCAGGAGAGCCTCAAATCCACATCGACACAGGTCTGTACCTCAATGAAGGAGAAAAACGCCGGTACCAAGTCAGGCAGCTCTATGGGTACACACAGTGCTTCCGCGGTTCCATTGCCAAACACAAGATGGTCACACCGGCAATGGATCAAATTTTTGAGCCTCCACTGGCTCTCGGCCTACCGCGTACTTATCGGGCTGACCTTTATCATAAACATCGTAGTATTCGCTGTTTTATGCAAGCGCCTCTCTCTCGCCGCACCTCTTATCGCTACCGCCGCCAACATCTTCGCTGCCGTATTTGTCCGCCAAGAAGACCTTATTAACTTGACTTTTGCCTTTGTAGCAAAGATGCCCTCAAACCTACCTTTTTGGTTTGCGAGGACGATTTCAGACCTGCATCATTATGGCGGATTTCATATCGGCTGTGCAATCTCAGCGCTCCTATGGTACACGTACTTTGTGTATCGCAACACTGTATTATTCCTTGGGAACGCAGACGCAGGAACTGCAACAGCTTCCATGTGGGTCGACATTGTCACTTGTTATTCCTTCCTGTTTTCCATCTTTCTCGTGTGCATTACGGCTCACCCACGGCTCCGTGTCAAATTCCACAACACTTTCGAACACACGCACCGCTTTGGGGGTTGGACAGCGCTCATCGTCCTTTGGATTCACGCCGGCGTGTCCAGCAATAGCCCAGACAATACACACATGCACGCCAACCCCGCTGTATGGCTCCTAGCCGCCACGACCTTTATCATCATCCTCCCCTGGACACGCATGCGCCGAGTACCCATCACCACCGAAATCGTCTCGAGCCGGGAAGTCAAACTCGGATTTCCCTTTAAGCACATGCCTTACACATCAACCATGCGCTTCTCGCGGAGTCCCCTAATGGAATGGCACGCCTTCGCCACTATCCCCAATCCCGACGGCGAATCCGCCTACATTGTGATTTCCCAAGCCGGCGACTGGACAAAGGCCATGATACAGAACCCACCGTCGCACATCTGGATCCGCAAGCCCGCCGCCATGAACTTCCTTGCCTTTTCCCCGCTCTTCAACTCTCTCCTGCTCGTCGCCACAGGCGCAGGCATCGGTCCCATGCTCTCCCTCCTGCGCAGCCCCGCCATTGCCAAAATGAAGAAACAAGGTCGTACGATCAAAGTCATGTGGTGCGTCTACCAACCTGATGCGCCACACTGGCAATTCGTCCAGGATATCATCCGCAATGTGGACCCTGAGCCGAGGATCTTCGATTCTAAACAGGGCAGACCGGATGTCGCGGGCGAGACTACGTATTTGATGAAGGAAGCACAAATTGAAGCTGTTATGGTGGTTAGTAATCCAAAGGTTACGAGAGAGGTTGTTGAGGGGGTTAAGGCTTGGGGCGGGGCGGCGTATGGTGCTGTGTTTGATTCTTAGACTGCGGTCGAAGTCTGTGTTTGTGTTGGTGATGGTGATGCTGACATGTATCTTGGGAATTTTCAACGAGTTGCATCGGATTTTCTCATATCTGTATGAGACGAGGGGAACTGTTGAGGAGATGACGATGCTTTGTATACGCCATATTTGGGGGGTTGGGGGTCGGATCTTTTGACTAGAGTTTGGAGGTGATATACTCGAGAACTGTTACCAAAAAACCGTATAGGAAGATTTAAGAGCTGGGGGAGACTGGCGGTCATTTCTGGGGTTTTAGGGGGAGAGGGGAGTTATGCGGGATATAGGCGGCGTACAGGAGTTTTTACCATCTACTTCTTCCTTTTATCATCGAAAATTTCAACTTTTTTCTTTCCTTCTGTACTCTCTCTCTCCTTTGCCCCCCACGTGATCCAAACAAGTATTAATGTCCCTCCCTGGGTCACGCAAATCCCCCTGTGCCGCAAGAAAACAAGGGTACTTCATCTTTAGAAGACAATATTTCTACTCATGCGCTATTTTTATACTATATTTATAGACAAGGTTTATTTTCAATCTTCTTTTATAGGTGTAGATAACTCCCCTTATAAAAATTACTTTGTTTTTTAGTTAGCGCAGGATGTTAACGATAGTGAGCTGATCACACCTAAAGCAATTTACACTCATTACATGGCCAGCTGGTATCATTTGCGGGATCTTGCATGCAGACCCGTTTGCAGCGAGCGATAATAGTTAGGAACTTCTCCGAAATACGAAAATTACATGACCCCGCACCATCCCCTCTGCCTCTCGATTCGCTGTTGTAGTGATTCATCTGCATCCACTACATCTCCATCCGCACCATCTCTTCCGCCCTTTCCCAACAATAACTTCCATCTCCAAAAATACACTAGTAAACTCAAATAGTCTCCCGGTTAAACACGCCCTATGCAAGTCCATCGGATTCACCATCTTCAACACCTGCCTATAAATCTCTACAAGCGTGCATATATCTTCTAATATGTTACAATTGCTAAAGCCGTAGTCGCAAATGATTGCCGGGATAGGCGGATGCGTTGTTAGATCCGTGTTCTCGAGGAATTGTTTTAAGAGCCCAAACGGATGGATGCGGACCCGACGGCGGGACGGAGAGGAATGATTCGAGATGAGGTAAACGGGTGCGCAAATTCTGGAGGTCATGGGAGTCTATGAGTAGAAGTAGTGTCCCGGCTTCGTAGACTTTCCAGAATGCAGCGAACGAAGCTGTGTGCGTGAGACTGCGCCGCTCGTTGTGGAATGTGTAGAAGAAACTGCCATCGCTGGGGACAAGCAGGAGAAGGTATTTGTCTACCAGCTGACTTTCCTCGGCGCTGTTGCGGCAGGTTACAAAGGCGAAGGTGTGGTACAGCATTGCACTCGGGTTTGGAGTAAAGCGATACAAGATGTGTGATAACAAGAGGAAGCTATCCCGTTTAGCCTCGGGTTTCAGCTCACTTGGGTGCATATTGCGGTCCCGAGGATCAAGGTACAGTTTTGCTTTGTCAAAGAAAGTCTGTGCCAGACTTCCCTCTACTTCTTCTTTGGTTGTAGGCCCCTGCAGACGGTGTAGATTTTTGAGCCACCAGGGGAAGTACTGACCGCGCTGGGATTCGGGTATCCTGTAATAAATTTCTTTGATCTTCTCAGCCATGGCACGTTTGACGCGCCATTCATGTAAGTCACTCGATGTGATGTCACCGAAGAGATGAATCCCGTTGTATAGCCCAAAGAGGTTGTATCGGTCACTGGCGTCAAAGACATTATTAAAGCCGAAATCTTGCAAGACGTCTCCGTCCACGGGTATGGTGTCTCCAACCAACGACCTCCAAAGATAGTCCGCTGAGGTGAGCTGGCGCTTTGAGCATGTGAGTAAGTGATACACGGAAGCTTTGCCTTCGCATGATTCACTGCAGAAGCGCCCTTTATTGCAGTAGCTGCATCTTCTTTTCGTTGGCCGATGACACACGTCGCATCCTAATTCGTACTATTTCTCGTTCGGTGTGAAATGGTAGCGGTTGATAAGAGTCCCTGACCTCTCTGATCGCCTATAAGAATCAGGGTTGAGGGAAATTAAAGTATGATTTTGAACTTTCCTACCTTCTGAACATCACTGCAACTCGATTCTGCTCCGCCTTCACAATTAGATGATCAATCTGCGCTCGCCTCGCCGAAACTTCGTCATGCTGAGTACCGATTAAGCTGATGCCTCCAAATACTGAAGTTCGTTCAAGTCGAACTTTGCCTCCCACTGGAGTGACGAGCTTCTTCACTATCTCTTTATGCAGTGATATCACAGCCTCACTTATTCGCTTGACCTGTTCTGGGAGAAGCAGCTCCATGTTTGGAATAGTCCATGGCTTGAAAAGACGACCGTGGCATCCCTGTGTATTAAAGTGTCCATATGACTGGATAAACGCATGACACATGAAGCAGCACAACTTACTACATCCAATGTAAGGCAATAGTCCAGGACCAGAAGTATTGGATGTGTTCAAGTGCATCAGTAATTGCACCTCAGCATGGATGTTCAGCTTCTGTCTCTATCGCTCTATAAACTTGCGTTCAAGTTGACTTAGAGTCCACTTTTGACCTATGACGGCCTGAACTGCCTCTATTTTTGTATCGAGGCCAAGAACTCTAAATGTATCTATTAGCTTCATGAGGCGATGAGGTAGACTTGCGGGTGCAGGAGGTCGAGACACTAGGGCGATGGTGACATGCATGAAACTCGGGAACTTTAGGGCGGTTTCCTTGAATTTTCCGAATATAACTCTCAGCCGTGCAATTAGACAGATGTTGACCCAAAGTTTTCTTGATCTAGAAGATGCTCGTAGAGAGTTGTTAAGCATTTACTATATAATACTTGACCGGCGTAGGTCGTACGTTGCGATAACAAGCTCTGAATGTCGGTCAAAAGTGCTTCTGTCATTGATATTTGTGTTGAAAAGAAATTCGCGCAGGATTGACAATTATAAATCAAGGTCTGAACCGTCACCTGTTGTGTCAAGATATGTCTTCCTATATCCTGTCTCGAAAGCTTCGAAGCCCGCTCTTAGATCGGGTAAATAGCTGCTCTGTATCCGACTCTGATAGAATGACACCAACTCTTCCCACAGACGTACATCTGTATTTGTATCTAAACATATATCAACAGATGAGTTATCGATGAAAAGTCAGTCTGTGAACATACCTTCGCCACGCGAACATGATTCCAACAGCCTTTCTGGGACAGTAAATATAGGCTTGTCAGCCTCTGAGAACCCCTCATTCTGAGAGATTCAGATAGACACGCTGTATTTGCTCTCCCTCATAGCAGAGCAAGCGACTGCAGTTCCGCCTTTTTTGTTTGCGGCAAATTCCGCCAAACAGTCCAGAAACTTCTGTTTCAGCTTTCCATGTCCAGAATCTGCTATTCGATGAGCGCAGCTAGTGTTCACACTAGATGCGCCCGCATTGTCGTTTTTATCGTTACTATAGTCTTCGTCGAGCACGGCGTTAGATAGCGAGGAGGCTTCGGCCTGGTCGCCGTTACGAAGCGATAGCAGATTGGCTAGAGAGTGGAAATGGGACCAGTTTAGGCCTGGATAGTCCTAGTTGAATGTTTCGCCTATTTCAAAACACAAAGCTATCGATCGTGCTGATGGTGTGTGATGCGTAGCTGTGCGGGGTCGATCTAGACTTGGGTGCGAGGAGTGATATGCCTGTAGACCAATCAGCCAATGCAAGGTCTATACGTACCACTGCCACGAAATAGAAGTCGCGTGTCATCTTTGCTGCGTCTCGAGCAGAGAAATGAACAAGTGCTTGACTATTGAGACATCTTTTTATTTCTCACTCTAGTTCTATCGTACCCTTGCACTTCTACAGCGATAGTACCGAGTATGGTATGGGATAGCATCATCTTTTAATAGGGAATCCGAGTTGTTAGTGCATCAAACGGGATGGCTAGTTCGTGTTAATACATGTCCTTAGTTGAGCTATATCTACGTTCGTGGTGTTGTGAATACTACTACTGAGGCCAGTATAACGGACACCATCCTTCCTATTACGCGGCTTAGAAGTCAAAAGAACTCGCTCTAACGCCAGAAATAGATTAGCACGTGATCTCATAGATGTTTCAAGAACTAAACGCCATACTTTGGCCTGATCTAACTTAGTAGCAACTAATGCGCTATGCACGTAAGTATACTAAAGCTATAAGCTAATTAAACAGAATTAAGTCTAGAACTCGGACAAATTCGGAATACACCTTACTCAAAGCTGATATTTAAAATAATGTAGAAATAACGTGCCCCACCAGTAAGCTGGCCACACCAGTAAGCTGGCCACCCCACCAGACTTGACGCGACACTCTGTACAACCACCACCATGCCGCGACAACAACGTTCTATACGGACTTCTTGTGAAGGCAGATTAAGTCTTGCTATAGCCTCCTATCGTAATAATCCAAAACAATCAGTACGCGCACTTGCAGCAGCGTATGACGTGCCAAAATCAACTCTTCAGACACGTCTCCAGGGTGTTCAGCCACGATCAGAGATTCCATCTACTAGGCGTAAGCTACTGCCTATTGAAGAGCAGTCTCTCGTACAGTGGATCCTAGACCTTGACCGACGCGGTTTTCCGCCTTATATTATTGACGTACGACGAATGGCAGACGCTCTACTCGCTGCGCGCGGCCAAGATCCACCTCCAGCACCTATTGGCAAGAACTGGGTGTCGCGCTTTATACAGAACCAGCCAGAGCTTCAGACAAAGTGGAGTAGAAGGCTTAATAGTCAGCGCGCCTCCTGCGAGGATCCAATCGCAATTACAGCGTGGTTTAAACTAGTAGAAGAGACGCGCCAGTCGTACGGCGTCTTAGACCAGGATATCTATAACTTTGACGAGACTGGGTTCGCGATGGGCGTCGCTGCAACGTCAAAAGTCGTGACTAGCGCTGATAGAATTGGTCGAGCAGTCGTCGTACAGCCAGGTAATCGCGAGTGGGTGACAGTAATCGAGTGCGTTAACACGTCTGGCTGGTCTCTCCCACCATTCGTGATCCTATCTGGTAAGGCCCACCAGAGCAGCTGGTATCAAGGCCTCCCATCAAACTGGACTGTCGCAGTATCAGACAACGGATGGACGACTGATCAGCTTGGCGTAGAGTGGGTGAAGCACTTCAACCAGCATACAGCTGCTCGTACAGCTGGAGTCTATCGGCTACTTATTCTAGACGGCCATAGTAGCCACGCCACGCCAGAGTTTGACCAGTTCTGTACAGAGAACAAGATTATTACTCTCTGTATGCCGCCTCATACGTCGCACCTCCTACAGCCACTTGATATAAGCTGCTTCTCCCCACTCAAGCGCGCGTACGGGCGTGAGGTGGAGAAGCTCGCCCGCCAAGGCCTCCACCACGTTGACAAGGTAGACTTCCTTACAGCCTATACACGGATCCGGCCGATAGTTTTCACGCAGCAGAACATTCAGGCAGGCTTTCAGGCGACAGGCCTTGTCCCTCTCTGTCCAGAGCGTGTCCTATCGTCGCTCACAGTAGCCAGAACACCGTCTCCACCACAGACAGCAGCGCAGACGCAGGCAGTAGCGCAGACAGAAACACTACGTACAGTAGAGCAGCTTCAGCAGCAGGTACGCTATCTCCAAGAGCGACTGGGCCGGCAGCCAGAGAGCCCAACAAGTATTGCGATACGCCAGCTTGCGAAAAGCGCTCAACTTGCAATGCAATCAGCAACAATACTTATAGAAGAGAATAAGAAGCTACGTATAGAAAATCAGCGTCAACAACAAAAGCAGCATCGACAACGTCAATATATTGCTTCTGGTGGAGTGCTCCAGGTGCAGCAGGCTCAGCAGCTTGCTGCAGAGGCAGAAAGGATGGTCATGGAGGCCAGCCAGAGCCAGGCTGGTGAGCGACGTCAGCGCGCGCCGCCAACGTGTACGAAGTGCCACACTCAAGGCCATACACGGACTCAATGTAGATAGTAATAATCTACCTTATAGTAGAATATAACTATATTATCTCTTATTATTGTGGCTCAATTGCGCAGAACGTTGCGTCAAGCCTGGTGGGGTGACCAGCTTACTGGTGTGGCCAGCTTACTGGTGGGGCACGTTATTATCTTATATAACAGTTCTGTTATTTGATCTCTCTGACATGTAGAAGTCTTGTATATATCGCGCTATGATAGGGGTGCGAAGCCAATTAACCCTAGACTAACTAATAAAGAACGAGCGACAACAGGACTAAACAAGCTATAATATTTTAGCTACCCTTCTAAAATGATTAAGGATAACCTTAAAAATGATGTTTTCGTTATAACAGTGCGGTAGAAGCGACATGGCGACTTTCAAGGTGCAAAAAACCGCAGGTTCTTTACGGCACGGCGGGATTTGCGTGACCCGGGGAAGGATGTTAAACAACAACAGCAACAACCGCTCCCCCCACCGCCGCCAAAATCCCACCTCCAAATACATTATTCCGACCCGCCGCACCAGTAAACTGCGCCGAACTCCCACTCGAACTCATACTAGGCGTCATCATCGCGCCTCCGCCCGCCGTCATCGTCATCGTTTTATCCCCGTCCATGCTGATTATCAGGGGTTTTGTCTCGTTGCCTGCTGCACAGGAGGGTATGGGTGCGTTGGATCGGGTTACGATGACGTCGGAAGGTGTGGTACTGGGGCAGGCGGGGTGGATGGTTAGGGTTGAGAGGGGGGTGCTGTGGGAGGAAGGGTTAGTTGGGTGGATGGATGGGTAGGAAAGGGAGACGGACTCTGATGTTGCTGTTACTGCGGTGAGGAAGAGGGTGAGGAGGGGGTTTGAGAGTCTCATTGTTGGAAGTGGTGAGGGTTGAAGATGGAGAAAGGGTTAGGAGTATTGATGATGTATCTTCTCTCTTTATCCTTCCAAGTAGGAGAACTAGACAGTCATAAATTAAACAAAGTCCTTCAAAGTAACGCTGTTTTACTTTCTTACTTGTGATCTTTGAACTTAACTCCCCCCTTGCTTTCCCACACTACACCCTCACCTACTTTCTTCTCGCCTCGGCTTTCTCTACTTCCACGCCACAACCGTCTTTCCTCCTCCCTCGAAACCATGATTAGCCTGTATACACAAACTCACATTCCCCCTTCTGTAAATTACCGCCAACTACCGACTACCGGATCAAACGTCTTCCACTCGGGAAACAGTGTTGCCGAAGGACTAAGCAGGTATGGTTTGGGTATGGATCGTAGTATCTGGACTCGCCCGTTTAGAGGTTACGTGAACTAGAGCGAACGTGTGCGTCGATCTACTAGTGTAAATTGGGGTCTGAGGTGTGTTCGGAGGGAGTGTTTCCCGGTGCAAGGGGCGAACGGGCTTTGCGGTGAATGAGTCGGGGGCGGGAAGATGGATGGGTTAGTTTACTAGGTTCGCAGTTGCAAGTTTTTTCATCGGCACGGGATATTTTTTATTTGACGATCACTTTCTTGGTGCTAGGTGCGAAAGAGTGCGGCCGCAGGAGTGTGGGGAAGATTAGTAGTGCGGGTTCTGGAATTCGCCCGCTCGAACGCTTGTGAGGTTGGGTGTTTTGGATGCGCGTAGCTTCAGGGACGAACGACATTGTGCAAATATACCTTGGCTAGTTTTATTGGTGGGCTTTGGATGTGGACGTTCACAGTTTACACCTCAAGTATCGTGTACAGCAGTATTGGTGGGTTTGCGGGATTCGTAGTCTTACTGTGCAACCGCCGTCTTGCTGTCTTGCTGTCTTCCCAACGGGCAACCAAACATGCAATGAATAAAGTGAAAAAGCCACACTCGTCATACATCTCACTACACATCACCCGCGATGTCCCCATCCGGATACAATACAAATATTTTTCCCTTTCTACCAAAGAAAAACCCCGCATCCACCATCGTCTCGCGGATCTCCCTCCTAGAATGCACATACGGGCTCTACGTCCCGCGCCCCACGATGTCTTCACAAAAAAAACCAGGTTAAACAAAATAGGCCTCGATCTTCCACCTTCCAGGAGGTCCAGTCTCTTCCAATTGGCCGGATCACACCAAGTCGATCGTAGTCCGCCCTGTAGCGTGGTGAGCTTACCCGATTTAGCGCAATTCTATCATTCGGAAGGTCAGCATTCCGTGAATGTGGGCAACTACCGCACTACACAACACCAAAACGAGCCCAACCCGCAAATGTGCGGGGATGCTGTTTCCTGCACGCTTACCTAGATTTGCCGGCGCCAGTCGCTTTTTGGCCTTACAAACCTCTGATTGGGAAATTGGAGTTGCTGAGCGTTTCCTCATTCGAGTGGTTGCGGCATAGAATCTTAAACGTACGCTAGGATTTAGGGGCGTCGGATGAGGTTCACTCCGTTCGGGCGATTGTTTTCTACAATCAACGATGATGACGATGACGGGAAGATTTGGAGGTTCGAGGGGAAGGGAAATAACGGGACTAGTAGAGTTTGAGGACGAAAGGCATCTGTGTATAAGAGACGCTGTAGTCTTGAAAGGAAAGAATAAGGCATCAAGTACACCACTCTCACAAACTTGAACCCACATTAATCCTCAGACTTTTTGTTTACCAAGTCCCTTAATACCATCCACAATGAAGTCCACCCTCTTCTCCACAACCGCCGCCCTCGCGGCCCTCACTTCCGCCTCCCCCATCTCCCGCCGTGCAGATGGCCCAACAGACGGCGAAATCCTCAATTACGCACTCACCCTCGAACACCTAGAATCCACCTTCTACAGCGACGCCCTCGCCAAGTACACCGCCGCAGACTTCTCCTCCGCAAACTTCACCCAAGAAACCTATGACCGCGTAAAAACAATCGCCGCAGACGAAGCCGCACACGTCTCTTTCCTAACCGCAGGCCTCAAAGCCGCAGGCGCAACACCCGTCGAAGCTTGCACGTACAACTTCGGATATACAGACGTAGCATCGTTCCTCGCCACCGCCTCTGTCCTCGAAGGCGTAGGCGTAAGCGCGTACCTCGGTGCCGCCGCGGACATAATGTCGAAAACCTATCTCACTGCTGCCGGCTCGATTCTCACCGTCGAAGCGCGACATGCCGCCTACATCCGGAACAGTATCTCTGAAGCCCCGTTTCCTGCGCCGTTTGATAACCCGCTCGGATACAACGAGGTGTACACGCTTGCGGCGCAGTTTATCAAGTCGTGCCCGGAGTCGAACCCAAAGTTGCCGGTAAAGGCGTTTCCGGTGTTGAGCGCGAAGCCGGCCGAGGAGGGCAAGATGGGGATTTACGGCGGTGACAGGATTGTGGTTTCTACACCGAAATATAAGATTGAGGGGGACGTGTATGCGGCGTTTATTACGGTTACGGGACCGGTTTTCGTTGATGTAAAGGCAGTAGAGGGGGGGTTTGAAGTCATGGTGCCTAAAGAGGGTGTGATGGGGCAGAGTTATCTGGTTCTTACGAGTTGCAACACTGCGGCTACGGATGATACGATTGTGGCGGGCCCGGCAATTGTCGAGGTTATGGCTGCGATGACTTAAGTCTCTGTCCATCTTTCCTGACCCATTCTGAACTTTACTGCTGTCTTTACGCACCCAGAGAGAGAAAAGAAGTGCAGTGTAAACTAATTCTATTATATAATATATAATTCTTTACTGCTAGTATCAGAAAAATTGAAAAAAAATCAATGGAAGTTCATTCTTGCATATCATATCTCACGTGCCCTTTTTTTCTTCTCTTTCTTTCCTTTTTCTCCGCCCTAAATCAAAAGAAAACGATGTTGCAGATACACACACAAGATTTACCCACCCCACACACATAGCCCTGCATCAAGCCCCCTGCAGCGAAAAAAGAAAGGCCCTTGCATATACGCGCGTTCTGCCGTCGTGTGCCGAACATGCAGGATGGCACCACTTTGCTGGTACGACAGCACGGCAGAGCATGGGGGAACAAAGGAAAGGAAAAAAGGAAAAAAAGGAAAAAAGACAAGAGGAGCAGAGGGGGGGAGGGGGATGTTTGGTGGGACGTGGGAGTGGGGTTTGCTAAATATAGGTTTGGGGATTGGATGGGTGTGTGCTACATGTGTTCTATGCAAATTAGAGTGAGAAAAAGAAAAAAGATGTTGGACATAGGAGAGAGAGATATTGGATGCGGATGCAGAGGACGAGGGGAATCTTCACAGTGACTTGAATAGGGAAGTGATGATCTTTCAAAGTCATTGACATTTCTCATTATTCTATGTCAGCCCAATAAACATACCCCCGCCCTTGACCATTCTATCAAATTGTAAACATGCAATGAATACACTCTCAAACTCAGCGCAGTGCAAACCAACTTGGCTTCGATTAAAATGTTTCCAGCCAGCCGGAGTAAATTCTTTCATCCCATGTGATGTCGTATGTGCGTATATATACAAGCCGGACGTTATGTTCCTCTCTTCCTCCCATAACCCCATGTCCCCGACCCACGCCCATCCTCCAATCTTCGATACATTATTCCATGTAACAAAAGAAAACAGGCCCAGCCAACCCTACCAAACAAACAGAGGGTATTCTTCCCCCAACATGTCCGCCCAGACAAGGTCGCGGACATGAGAGCAAGCAAATCAAGCCACCAACCGACCAAGATATCATGGATCGGGAATGAAAAAAAAAAAATGAAAAAAGACAAAAAAACCCCCCGATAAGCACACGTGTGCTCCCAGTTCCAAATATACAAGGCCCTGTTTCGTTGGGCAAGGAGATGGATATGATGCCGCGCCTTGGGAAGGAGAGTTAAAAAACTTCCTCTACTGCAAATGGATGATGCCAGAGATCACAAAGGAATATTTTCCTTGGTGAGAAATTTAAAAAAAAACGCCAACCAACGCCATGCCGTCATGCAAGAACTCGTGGTGAGAAGGAATGGTGATATGCGGTCGTTTCGCTCGTCTAATGCTGGTACGATGTCGGTAACGACTGACCGCCGCAGTCGGGAATCTTGAGTCCGGGCTTGAGATTGCGGTTAACGTCCATGAGACCCCATTTGTCTTCCCACTCTTTGCCTTTTTCGTTGTACTTGATCTTCCATGGCTCGTCGAATGCAGAGAACCTAGATAGCTGTTAATTGTTTTGCGTCCATGTGCTTTTTTTTTAAAGAATAAACTCACCAGAAATACTCAGTACCATTCTTCAGACTTGGGCATATCCAGTCTTCCATAAACTGATTCATTTCGTCAATACCAGCAACTGATCCCTCTGTGCAAGTCTTAGCTCCACCGCAGCCGGTGCCACCTCCAGATGGCCAGCCGACTTCTGCAATAATCTGGTGAATCTTGTTCTCGCTAGCAGTAAGAGCAACGTCGTGAGTTTGCCAAAAGTTCCAGGTCCATCCAGCGGCCGCCTTGACGTCAACACCGGCGAAGAATGGATGAACGTTGGACATGACAATGTCGACCTTGGTGGCCATGTCGGCAGTCCAGTTGTCGCCAAGATCGGCCATGGCGACGGGGAGCTTGCACTTGTGGTCTGTAATGTTCTTGCGGAAGTCGCTGATGTGGTTGAGGAGCTCACTGGTGGTCAAATCCTTTCGGAAGAGCACCTCGTTGCCAATAATGATACCCTTGAAGTAGTCACAGCCATAGTCGTCGAGGATATCCCAGGTCTGCGAAATCTGTCGCTGGGTAGTGGTGTCGTTGCTATCAAGCCAGACTCCAAGCCAAATCTTCATGGAATCCTTAATCTCCAGGCGCTCAATGGCGTGGATAAGCATCTGGGTCTGGTTGCAGTCAGTACCATAGAGGCGGACAGAGTCGGTCAACTGTGACATGACGGCCAAGTCACGCGTAATGTTATTCTGCGATGGTGGGATGTGGACACAGTCTGGGTATTGTGTGTTGAGGGGCGTGTAGTCCATGCCGGGGAAGACCTTGTGCAGATTGGCGTTGTTCATAAGGGCCTTGATCTCTGGCGAGTTCTTGCCAAGGTCGTCCTTGTTGTCTTTGGCAACGTCGTTGGCAGCTTGTTGCGCCTTTTCTGCGTTGCCTGAGCCGCCGCCGCCGCCCCTGTTAATGGTGGCTCCGAGGACACCACCGAGGATTGCGCCCATCATGATGACTGTGATGATTGCAATGGCTATCCACATTCTTTTCTTGCGCTTCTTCAGGTCGTCTTCTGCCTTCCAGCTTGCAATCTTTTCGGGCATGAGCTCCCCGCTTCCGTTGACCATGGGCACTGTGTCGTACTTGTTGCCGTCGCGCGCAGCGCTGTAGGCGGCAGCGCCTGCTGCAGCACCTGCAGCAGCACCTGCACCTGCGCCAGCCGCGCCATTGTTGATTGATGATCCGGGGGAGCCATTGCGGCTGCTGCCGTCGCGTGAGCTGCCAAAGGGGACAAAGGAACGGCGCTTGTTCTGCAAGGCCTCGCTGGGGCCCATTCCCCAGTCGTCGTCATTGTCGACTTCGTGTGGATTGATCTGACCCATTTGGGGGGCGAGGTTCTGGGCCGACGACGAGTAGCGGGTGTAGGGCGTGTCGGAGTAGGTGTGGCCGCTGTGGGATGAGTGAGGCATGCTGAGGAGAGAGCTGTCGCTCGAGTACATGCCAGGAGCGAGAGGCGCAGCGGAGCCGTTTGAGCGCGAAGAGTACATTGGGCGAGGGACCATGGAGGCGTCATAGTCATTGAAGGGTGAAACAGGTGAAACTGGCGAAAGGTTGCTGGGGACACCCAATGGGCGCCCTGACTCGATGCCTCGTGTGGGCGGCGCGGAGGCTGGAGGCTGGTGTGCAGCCATGGTGTTGTCGGAGAGGGCGTGGCCAGGCGTCGAATAGTCGGAGTAATTGTTGGGGTCAGCGTAGGGTGGGTGGCTATTCATGTGCTGGTAGTGGGTGTCGGGGTGGTGGCCTACAGGCGTGCGATGGACGGGTGGAGGGGGAGGGCTGTCGTCGGCGGAAGCGGTGTCGGTGTATTGAGCTTGTCCGAGTGGCCAGGCTTGTTGCTGGTGGTAGGCCATTTTGGGGGACTTTTTCCTACAGAGGATGCTGCAAGAAGCGAAGACGTCTTAGGCGGCGGCGCACCGCTCGGGGGATCGGTCGCAGCGGACTATTGGTGGGGGCGTAGGCGATTGGGGCGGGTGTCTTTGTTTGTTCTTGCAGGGCGAGGCAGGCGTGTACACTTTGGGGGCTGGCGCACAGGCAGCCAAAAGAAATGGTGCGGCGTTGGAGGGAGATTGGGTGTTGGAGGGAAGGGAGGAGAGGTTTGGTGGATAGAAAATAGACAGAACAGGATGCAGGCAAGGCAGGATGCAGGCAGGCAGGCAGGGCGGCGTCTGGCAGGCCGGGTAAGACGGGCTGGTACCACGGAGGCTGACGGCGCGAGTGCAGGTGCAGGTGCTGGTGCTGGTGCTGTGCGCGCCGGGGCTAGCCCGCCGCAGCATTTCACCCAGGAAACGCAGTACACCAACGGCCGCGAACCCACTGGTGACGTCGGCCAACCCAGCCATCCTCGCCCTCCCCAACAGGTTTTGCGCCGCCGTATTCGCACAAGTAGTAGTGTATGGCACATAGCTCATGTGTAAATACGTACACGATGCATTCACTGGCGTGCGCGACTAAGTAAGTACTGTTAGTACTATTAGCTGCAGCCATCGATGGATGGATGATGATGATGATACTGTGCGCCCGCGTCAATCAAGACACCACACGACACGCATGCACCCCATGCTCTGTTGTGGCAGTGGTTGCATGTTGACATGTACATATATCAAGTATGGATGATGATTAGGTGCCTGGCTGTGCGACGCCCGTTGCGTGAAAACAAGCAGCCCAGGGTGGCGGGCAAGGTGGACAGGCCAAGGGTGGGTTCAGTGGGCCGCCTATCCAATCTCCGCTATCTCAGCATCGCCGTGGAGGAGGCTGGTGGTTGGTTGTCTTTGTCCACCCACCTTCTTTTCGGGACAATCGTTATAACTCCACTCCCACAAGCCTTTGATCCAATATCCAACACTGCCGGTCGCAGCATCCACGTACTGCTGCTTGCGTATCTCTCCCCTCCCTCTTGGTACCTGCCAATGCACAGCCCGATGCCGCTTCCAGTAGAGTAGCCCGCCATGCATCTGCATCCTCGACACTAGCCAGCCCCACACGATCCAATACATATGGCCTGGTCGCGCAATCGTCGATGCCCTTGTCTTGTTGCTATTGTTGTCGCTGCTGCTGCTGCAATTATTCTACATGCTACTTACTTACTTGTCCATAGTCCAAACCACTGTCTCATGGCCAGTTTGCCATTGTGAAACGCACGCACGCACATCGCAATCGGCGCAAGGCTCACTCTCTCGTCCCTACCCCGCCCCAGCGAAGCTTATCTCATTTTGCGTGCCCGACGCCAGAGCCGCGTCAGCGACCATTTCTTCTGCCGCCTCTTAGCCTCCAAAATGTTGCCTCTTATGTACACTCACATCGCCTCATGCCCCAAATCTTGCTTCTGCTTCCACCACCACCGCATGCTCCCTTCCGCTGCCATCCACTCCCCAGCAGTCCATGTCCTGCTCCTCCACCCGTATTGCAACACGCCCAACCACTCAAGTCCGTGCTGCACAGTCGCATCATGTCTTCACGAACCGGTCCTGCCCCGGCCTTGGCATCGCTTCTAGCTTGCTGCTAATTATGAACGGCCTCTAGTCTACCGCTCAACGCAAATCCTCGCTGCTGACACGAGTCTGACACCTCCGCTGCAAAAAATCAATCTACCCCAACACTCTAGGCTCGGCACAGCACGGCACTCACAACAAAAGACCCCAACTCCATGTTGGCCATGCTGTTGGCCCTGCTGCTAGGCCAACAATTGTCGTGCCTTCCATTTCGAGCATTGCCACGCCCAGCACGTACGACGCGTATACTCTGCTGCATCTGTCCCCGTAACAACAGTCTGCTCAACCACCCATACACATACATTTCTCTCTTGTCAATTTATTTGCTCTCACATATACTACCCACCAGCATTGTTCTCTCTCGCACCCTGCAATACCCCCATGGTATGCTCCCAAACCTTGTTTGCAGTGTCATCTCGCCGCGCCTTGGCCCAGCTCACTTCCTTCCTCTCGTCTCCTCGCTGGCCAACTGCATAAGCACCCCCTCCCATTTCCCTCTGACTACTCAACGCAACCTTGTCCCCCGTCAATGTTCCCTTTGCAGGATACCGCTCCGTACACAGAGACACCATGACCTGCCCACACACCTCAGGGCTCGTCATAAACCAGCTTGCCAATGGCTTCAACACCCTCCACAACATACGGAACCATAGCGGGTTTTCCTCACTTAGAAAAGTGGGGCCGTCTACTAGTCCAGGGTAAATGTGTACAAAACTGATTTTTCCCTCATGCTGCTCGGCCAGTGATTCAAAAATAAATGTCTTCATGAAGCACGTCCGCTTGCGTACTTCGGTCACACTGTAGATTGCTGCCTCCGGCGCACCAATCGCCACCTCACCTGCCTTGATCTGGTCCTCGACTGATCCCGCAAAAATGGAAATGACATGCGCCGTCGTCGGGCTTGCTCGAAGCAACCCACTGAGATTCTGTATGAACCGGATGCGCGAGTAGTAGAGCAACGACATTTGCGAATCAATTCCTTCTTCCGTGACTGCAATTGCTCCAATCAGTACATGAAACCCTGACGGAACAAAAAAGATAAATAGCAAATAACCTACGAGGTGATGGTGCTAATGGCGACAGCGCTGAACTCATGTACAATGCATCCAATCTCGGTGGTCCGCCGGCGAACCCATCTGTCTGATTCTCTTGCCGCATAATCTCCTCACACACATCATCCACCTCCTTCATCAAAGCCAAATTCTTTGCCCTGATGAACCGCCACTCGGAGCCCGCGCTGGTCTCGCGACCAAATTGCATCAGCGTCTCTGCTCGCTCAACATTGCGTCCTACGAGGTAGACCCTAAGTTTAGATCCATGCCCTGCAAACGTAGAAGCAAACGTTTGTGCTACATACGATCCAATACCATTTGTACCTCCAATCAAGGCTACAACGAGCGGCGGTCCATCTGGCAGCTGCGCAATGCTCGAGCGGATAGTTTCGAGGTCCGGCATTGTTGGATTTTGCGAGGTACAACTGATGTGCTAAAGTAACAACCGCAACAAACGAATACTGGATATGTGTATTCGACTACCTGGGTAATATAAATCTCTGCTTTATATTTATCTCCAGTTATCCTGCCAGCAGGAGGCCTTATTTTTTCTACCATTGCTAATACAACTCGTCGTATATTGCCGCTACGTCCGTTTGTATAGTACGCCCTGTATTGGTGGCTGCAGGCTGGGGCCTATCAGAGCTGAGATGCTTACATGCTTAAGTCCGTAAGTCCGGGAGCTATCCGTCATAACACTCTTGTAACCAGCAAATACTATGTATAGTTATACCCACAATACATGCCTTATTTTCCTTTCCATGCATCAACACCATTATGAACTGTGAGCGGCTTAATCTTAGGAAACCAGTCGTTTCACACATCCGGCGCCGACAGATGCCTCGGTCAAGTTCAACTGCGCCTGGCCGCTCGACTCGTCTGCGATGGACAGCGCAGATATGACAGTATGGATGGACTCGGCCTTCAACGTCTCCGCGAGATCAGAGGTTGACATCTAATCAACAACTATGGCTTTGGCATCATCGCTAGGCGTCTTGGTGAAGATGACATATTCGTGCGTATCCTGGACTTTCAGAACGTTGTAGATGGCCAGGCCAATGCCAGATGTGCTACCCGCGAGCGCGATCTTGACCATTGAACAGAAATGATGTTTGAATGGCTGGCTGGGGCGATTACGGCGTTAACATCAACGAAACATAGAGAGTGTTAAGTTTCAATGGTTCACCTGATATTTATGAGGCTGACAGGACGGGAAGTATGTAACCGTACTTTGAACTAAGGCCTAGGAAGGTCAGCCCTAGGGGGACACCTCGGGCCAAAGGGTTCACGGTCACGTGTAGAAGAGTATACTATATAGTCCCATCCGAACCTTGAGACTCCTTCAGAATTCGTCTGATTTCACTCCAAACTCATATGTTTTGTGCCTATCTGCGAAACTCCTCACGAAGTGGGTGATTCCGAAACCTATGGTTCTGCATAAGCTCCGGGTGTACTAGTACGTAGAACTTCTAAAACCATGTTTTGTATCGCTACTCCTCATCTTAACTTGGATTTACCATGGATTTTCTCCACCTGCCAAAGCTAGTAGTATAATGTCCATCCCTACGTGCCAGGACGCACGGTGTAACGGGACACTTTTTCTTTCGGGTGCCCGGATTGTACCAATCATGCCTTTAAATGGACAGGTCTAGTGTGCATCCATTTTGTAGCTCTTGCACTTCTAGTGCATCAGCCTCCGACGCTGAGAGGCGTGTTGTTGACCACGCTGTCGCTCGTTCTGTCAGCGCCGTCCATCAACTCTCCTCTAATACCCCCTTATCTATTTGCGGTAGTATAAACTTCTATATAGCTTAGTGGACTAGAAAGAAAGCCAAAATAGCAAAGATCAAGACTGCACACTCAAAGAGTCTACTTAACGTGAGAAGTGTACGTCCTGGCAGTTTCTCCGCGCGGACGGCACCGAACACCAACTTTGTGATTTTATGGTACCCTTCAAAACAATTAAATTTTTGTTAGAAATCACTCCTAAAGCGCCTAATAAGGCAACTCACAACTCATATCGGGCCCAGCCCTCCCTCTGACAGAGAGATGGCGGTGCCAGGTACCCCAGGGCAGACACTTCGACCTCCAGAAGTGACACACACGCGCCCTGAGGACCCAAATACCCCTAGCCTAGCTAACCTACGCACTACAAAAGACACAGGCAAGCCGAAGCAGCGCCTATACCTATATCGTTCGGTGGTAGTGCTAACAAGAGACAACGTGGTAGACGGGCGCGGTTACGGAGAAGG